ATTTTAATATAGAGAGAAAATTTCAATTTTCACTATGTTTTATTAGTAAATTTAGCTCCTGAGTCATTACTTTTGGTCGCCACTGTATATATCTCTGAAAAATTATTGTCATGAATTCATTACAATTTATATATATCTAATTATAAAAAGAATACAAATGCAATTAAAAACATTCATATATACTAGGAAATGGTGAACCATTGTGAGTCCGGAACGATAAATTTTTATTTATAACCAGTCACGTGGTGTGACAACGGAAATTCCACGTGACAATCAATTTTTTCACATAATATATAGTTCTTCGCTTACACTCCGGACAATTAAATAGCTTGAATATTTCTGAGAATTATAGAGATTAAGACGAATTTTTAAAAAAATTTTCAGATTATTTTCTAAATTTACTGCGGAAGATTTAAGAGTTTTTATTTGAATTTGATATTTCTCTGCAACAAAAGATCACACATGTACATGTAATTTAAAATTTAAATTTAAGCTGAGAATAAATATTTGGATCTGGAAAAAAAGCAATTTTTATTTAACATTATTGTCATTACATAAATGCAGTATGTATATAATCGAATGCACTATCCAATTTATTATATTAGGGTTTCGTAAAATAATTACAGATGATTTTAGTAAATTTTAGAATATCATTGTGCAATTTAATCTAACTTTATCATTATTCCGTCACAGGATGTTTTATACAAGCATAAACATCATTAATTAAATTCTAAGACTGCCACGATAATCATGAAGAGATATCCAGAGAATTATGTTACTAAAAAAATGGAAAAATATATCGAATTAATTTATGATAATAGTAAATAATAAAAATACGTAAACAATAATGACAAAATTATTTACCTGAGCATTATTAAAATATTCTGGAACAGCATAGCCATTCCAAAGTACCATATTGGCATTGAAACTTGCTGTAAAACATAATTCATGATAAAATTCGTCTGCAAATTATAGTGTTGAAAAAATTTATATTTTTGTATCACGTGGACTGTGGAAGATAATTATTAAATATGATATACTTACAGCAGACCAACATACACCACTTGCCATTAATACAAATCCTAGAAACATTATTAGTCGTGCTTTCCAGAGCATAGCTCGAGAAGAAGTTGAAGAAAAATAGTCTATATCGGATAGGCACGATTTATTGATTGAATTTACACTAAAATATTTATTCGATTCATTTGTGGTAATAATGAAAAAAGAGACGATAGGAATTTTAAGTTTTGTATTATGCTTATAAAGTGAAATGATTTCGTGAGTTAAAATATTATATAGATACTTACATAAACATGCCTAGCGTATTTAAAATACAGCCAATCCAATCTTTAACCGTTAAGATTTGATTTCCGGTTATAATTTTAGAATATATCATAGCGTCTATAAAAGCCCACCATCCTATTGCGAACTGTTTGAAAATAAGAATGTGGAGAATTTAGAAATCAAAATTTTGCAATGTAAAATCTTAACTCGTACGCAAAAAAGTTAACAAAACAACACTCACTAAAGCACCAGAAATATATATTCCCATATCTTTCGATCTGGGTAAACGAATACCACAAAATTTTAATCGATCATCCGCATCTTCGTCTTTCCAATGAGTCGGTGGAGTACCGGAAGTATACAATAAACGCCCCATCATGTTGTTTTATAATATGATATTCGTATTTGAAGAAGAGAGGAGTTAATTGATATTCGTTTTTCCTTTGCAGAAGACCACTTCAGGAACAATGTTTAAATTGTTTTAGTAATGAAATGATTTCAAAAACAGGTATTGATGTTTATTTAAAGCGAAGAGTCACTCCGCATTCCGGATCGCTTAAAACCAATAAAAATTTTGTTGGGGTAGTGCACAAGCCATTATTTATCTAAAAAGAGAATTACGCAGCTGAAATCAAATGTCATACTACGCGAGTATCGCTATACAGTAATCTAATATCAGATACAACATGTAAACTCCGCAAATGAAATAAAAAATTCGAGTAGTTTCTCATTCGTGTTTCATCAAATACATGTTCATGTACCGGTACGTAATATGCAATAAGATGTCATATACATGTACATGTACATGTACACAAATTGTACATATATATTTATGTGTAGCTTATTTTATCTTTATTGCGGAAAAAACGTTACCGTTACATGTACATGTACATCTATTACGAATCAAATATGTAATATCGATATGAAAATTCCTTTTTTTCATTGTTTTCTATTTTTATCTAATACATGTACACGTATATGTATTATGCTTTCGTCGTCGTCGTTGTCATCGCCGTTGTTGCCGTCGTAACTTTAGTTCATCCATATATTTACATGAAGCTTAAACATAAAATGCTTATATATTTTTTCCGACACAAATAATTAAACTCGGCAATTATCTTTTAATACGCAGTGAAGCGTTTTCTACGTATAAAGCATTTAAAGCTTAACGAAAAATCTCAAAAAGATGCTATAAAGTTTCAAGCTTACAGAAATCAATAAAACAAAGAGATTTGTTAGTTTCAAAATAATCGTAAAAAATCATCGTTTGCAAAGAAAAACAACATAAATTAATATTGTATTACATGTACATGGAACTGTACAAATTAACAAACACATTTTATAATCAGCACAATGAATTTGGTAATTAGTGAATGAGAGTTGTAAAACTGCGCACGAACGATAATGAAGTTATTTTAATGTGATTGCCGTTATTTGAATGGGAACCAAAACAGTGTTTGAATTAACAGTGAAATTAAATTATTCCAAAAATGATTTATTTATTTGCTTTTTGACAACGATACAACAATTGACGTATGATGACGACAAGAAATACACGAGTGATGAATAGTAACAAATACATGTATCATAATGATGATCAAACACGCTTTTGTTCATCGTGCTGCGATTTTTTTGATTTCTTTTTAAGGCGCAAATTTCTCAATTATTAGTATAAATATACATAACAATCCAATAGAATTTAACAGTTTTTTTAACATTTGGTTGTACTTGCAAAATAACCAACTAATCATATAATATATAAAAATTGGGACATATATTCATGGTAAATACAATCGGACAGGTGACTATTGCTATTGAGATTTATTTTTGAAAATTGCATATGAATAGGTATCAGGTAAGCCACGGTTATCGAGTCCAGCAAAATTCGAAATAAACGTTAAAGGTTGATTTTGAGATCAAAGGTTATTATTAGAGTTGGAGATAGAATTATATGTAAATTTCCCGTAATTTTTATTAATGTTCCAAACTAGATTCTAATTTTCACTTTTTGTGTCGTAATGTTTTGTAGCCTTTGTAACCGCTGCTTAACCTAACAGATGTGCGAACATCACAATGGTCACACCATACATCAATGGTACACGTACAGTCGCCACAAAAAATAACGCCCGATTTATTTTATCTCTGTCTTATATATATAAAATATTTTTACCACTAGCTAATAGATTATTAGCTCTTCATATGGCTCTAATATTGCTTTGATTTCTCAAGGCGTTGAGCTACAACCTCCTCAAAGACCATCACATCGAATTTCCTTCGGAGTAGTCTTGAGCATTTTCACGATCCTTGGAAAGCTTTTGCATTTTTGAATATTGTTTTCCAATGACTTGCAAACATTTCTATGAACTAAGAGTTGAAACCGCACAATATTCCTTGATTTCTCTATTTAATTCTATTCATGTCTTCTTTCCCAATTGTAGATCAGATGTTATTTTTTTGAAACATCATGTTTTCTCAAATCAATGAACAAACTATATTATGAAAATAAATCAAATTATCTTAGAAAATCTTCTAGACAAGATAAAATATGAATTAAATAATTTCGATTTATAAATAACTTATGATTTTATTATTTGAATCAAGTCTAATATTAAAGTACAGAACAGAGTGATATATTTATATAAAATAAAAGAAATATGAATTATAAATAAATTAATAATTTAAAATTTATATAATTAATGAAATTAATTATTTTAAAGTCACATCTCTGAAGAATAATACTGTACTTAATCTAATAAATTAATAATATAAATAATTATTTCTTATTATTTTATTTATTGTTTTATTATTAAAGAAAAATATTAATAATTTAAATTAATAATTATAGAATATATGGTGATTATCATTATCACCATAATAATATGTAATTAATCCTATCCCATGTACAGTCAAAAAGCTGTAAATTCACAAAGCCAAGAAAATTAGTAACAATATTTTTTAATTGTAACTTACAACTGTAACTTACAAGATAAGTTACATTCAAATTTAATAAAATACCATAATTTAACAATCCTAGGTAAAAAATATACTTTTCCAAAGTAAAGTTATTTTCTTTTTTGACAAATTCAAGTTTTTCAAAATAGATTCAGATTTCTCTTAAAGTACTAATTATGATTTTATTAGTTATTATGGATAACTAAAAAATCTAACTACAAATTAAAATACTTACTAGTAATAACCTATACAAAAGATGGTAAATACATGTACTTGTACATGTAATTCTCACCATGAAAATTTGACTATTTTAAAAATTAGAATATTTATATTGAATTATCTATAAGCAGAAAAAATTCATGAAAAAAAGTTTATACACTGTGAATTTCATTCTGTAAGTATATTAATGTTAAAAATACCTCAAATTGCTGATTTTAAACATAGCATTATAACAAATATAAAAAATTCTAGGCAAGTAATATGTGATGTACTTTCTTGTATAAGTCCAGAGGTACTGTTATGGCAAATTAGTAAGTGGGGTTTCACTTTAATTCACCTTAATAATATAGGATTGGGAGAGACTGAAATAATTAAAGAATAAAGAGAGGGAAATTAGACTAT